TTTGTTACTATTATATTAACATTTATATAAATTAACAATATCTATTATTTTATTATTAATAAAAGAAATTGTTAATTAATATGATAATATGATAAATTTTACTATTTTTACATTTTATATTGATTAAAATAAACAAAATTAGACAAAAGTATCATTATATTTTACATCAAAAATTAATAAAACATTAATTTTTAAATAATAGATATTTTAAAAATTAATTTAAAACCAATAATCAAATTAGTTATTAAAAAACAAATAATTTTTATACATTTTTTTATACTATAAAAAATTTTCANNNAATATTGAAAAAAAAATATTTTTTATCCTCAATTTTGAAGATTATTTTTAATCTCTAATATGAATGACTGTTGATAAAAAAAATATGAATCAAATATTTTTGGAAAAATTATATCTTTTTTTTCATTAAAATTTTAATAAAATTGATTGTTAAAACTTGAGAAAATTTCTTGTAAAAATAAAATCTTTCTATCTTCATTTCTTTTCATCTAATATTAAACTATTTATAATTTAAATTAAACTACTTATAATTCGAAAAATAAGTTTCAACTGATATTTTTAAATTACTTTTATATTATTTTTAAATTATTTTTATATTAATTTTAAAATCGATTTTTAAAATCTTCCATGAATATTAATATTTTGCATTTAATAGAAATAATCAACAAAAATATATGTAAAGAATAAATATTTATAAATAAATATTTGCATATTGAATTTACAATGAATTTATTATTCTTTAATAATGAAATACATACAATTTTTTTATTGCTTAATAATTGTTTTATTATATTTCAAAAATTAATAAAATAATATATGTCAAAAATAATTTCAATTAAAATAATAATATTGAAATTTTAATCTTAAACTTCCGTTTTAAAATTAGCTATTAATAATTAAACCTTCACTATAATTGATGGTTAATAATCGATTAATCAATCAAATAATGACGACTTTTTGACGATTAATATCAAATAATAATTGAATATTGTACAATTGAATAAATCAATTGTGTTTTTTTTTTTAATAATTGATGAATCATCTAATCTAACTATTAATTGATCGATGCACAATTCTGCCCTCTAGTATTCACAAACTATGTAATACAAATATACATTGATTGCTAAATCTACATATTATTTTATTTTATGTATATTTTATATATATGTATTTTATGTATATTTTATGTATATTTTATGAGAAAAAAAAACATTTTTTATTGTTTTATACGGATAAAAATTACTATAACATAAAAAAGCAAAAGAAAAGCTAACCGTATTAAACATTTGATTTATAACATGGTTTTATAATTAAGTTTTTTCCAATTGATAATAGTTAACAAAAAAAGTGTATAATAACTAAGAAACATATATTTGTAACTTTAAAAATTCATAAAATTATCAGATTTATATAATGTGGTATTTGATAGATCCAGATGGTATTATGTTTTAATTACAATAATAAATCAAATATAAATTATAATATTATTTAACAAATTTTATGCTATGGATCTTTATATTATAGGAGATTATATCTATTTAAAAGTAGACAGAGAAATTATATTTGGTAGAAAGAAAGGTGATATAATTTTGAAAAATGATGAATCAATCAGCAGATTACATGCTTCCATTCGCATCAAGGTTAAAGAAGTTATAAGGGTATTTTTAAAAAAAATATATTATTTATATAATTGCAAAAAATATAAACATTATTTATTAAAAACAAATTATTTTAATAAAAATATTTTTCCAGGAAGATAAAATAACATCTACATGTATAATAACAGATTTACAATCAAAGTATGGTACATTTATCTTCCGTGAATATGAAATGATAGAAGTAACTCAAGATGGATATAATCTACAACACAAAGATAAAATAAGATTTGGTTTGCAAGATAATTTATTTACGTAAAGCTTCAGTTTTTATTTTTTTTCCTTTAAAAACTTCACAAGTCTTATAGAAGAAATTTATAGGGTAGTATATATACCTTTAATAACATTGGTGTCTACCTTAAATCAAGATGATAGGAAAAAACTTGAATGTTTGATGGATGAAATTGATGGTGCTGTTTTATATGATTGGTTAAGCATATGTACACATTTAACAGTATCAAAAGCTAAATTAACTGAAAAGGTTTTCTTTGAAAAATTCTATCATTTAATTATTTTATTTACAAATTAAATTTATATTAATTTAGACAACAAAACAGGTTACTTGTGCTATGGCTTATGCAATACCAATAATAACTATGGATTATTGGGATGCAGTTAAAATTGCAATAGATAATGGTCAAGATCTTCCAGAAATTGAAAATTTCGTTCCACCAATTGGTGAATCATTAATTAATAAACAAAAATTATCTCTTTTCCCAAATATAAACAGAACAAAATTATTTAAAGACTTAATATTCATACATTTCAGTACAATTCAATTTAAAATATATAAAAAAATTATAAAGATGGCAGGTAAATAGCAAATTAAAATTAAAATATATAATTTATTTTAACAAAACATTAATATATTTTAAATATAATATAATATATTATTATTAATAAGAAATATATATATCTTAGGTGGCACATCACATTTATACTCAAAAAAAAATTGGTCAGTGGAAGAACTTTGTGCGCCAAATATTGTTGTATTACAATATTCTGATAATGAATCGACACAATTAACACAAAATGTTTCATCTGAATATGATTTAATATGTTATTATTATATATATTATTATATATTATATAATTATTATTATATCTTGCAATGTATAATAAAATAATTCTTAATTTATAATTAATTAATTTCTTTCTTTAGATAATGCATTACGAGCAGATAAACGTAAAATGGTATCAGAAGCTGAAATACCTTTAGCTATATTACACTGTTCCCTACAAAAATATTGCAATCCAGCATATAAATTTGGAAAGCTCTTAAAAAGATTAAAACCAAAATGTGACTCATCTAAAATTCTAAATCTTGATACACAAGATGTAGTATCTAATGTGAAAATATTACCAAAAATAATTTCTAATATTTCAATAAACACAGATTTATCTATTGAAAAATCTAAACATACAATAAAAATTATTCCTGATTCATGTAATGATTTGAAAAATCAAGAATTATTAAATGTAGATTTTAAACAATCTGTCAAAGAAATAAAATATAATAAATCACAATACATAAAAGAAACAAATACTTCTGATGATAATAAAATATTCATGAAAACAGATTTAAATATCCAAGATGATAAATGTATAACAAAAATTATTTCCGAATCATCAGATGATTTTAATAGTCAAGAATCATCAAATGAGGATTTTAATAATACATCTGTAAAGGAGTTAAAATGTAATGAACTACAATGTATAAAAGAATTAAAAGATATTTTTAGTGACACTCCAACAATAAATAAAAATATAAAAATGCAATCTAAACAAAATATAATTAATATTCCTAAAACGAATCGAAATATTATTTCCGAATCATCATCTTTTTTAAATATATTAACAAAAAGTACACAACATTTTATGCAGAGTGAAAATTTACAGATAAAAAAAAATGAAAATATACAAAAATTTGAAGAATTCAAAAATTCAGTAATCAATAAAAAAATAAAATTAAATGAAGTAAATTCTGAAAGAGAAAACTTTTTAAGAAATTCTGAATTAAAAGAAATTAAATCAAATATAAATAATTATCAAAATTTTACCCAAATTCTTACAGATAATAAATCAGATGATATATTTGAAATAAATAATTCAAAAGATGAAAATATGGAAATACAAGTTGTAAAACCATGCAAAAATTATTTTCATACAGATATAAATGATAAAAATTGCAAAATAATACAAACATCAGAAAAAAATCGAAAAAGATCTAAGAAAACATGTAAAATATTTAATGAATATGATATTGATGAAGAATTCACTGTATCTATTAGAAAAAAATTATGTTTAGAAAATGCAAATGTAGAATTAATTATGTTCAATGTAAGTTTTTCAGATGAATATAAATGTAATTTTTATGAACTTTCATTATAAAAAACTTTTTTTCATTATATAAAGCTTTCATTATAAATATGCAATTTTTATTTTAAAATTTTAGGGAGAACAAAAGAATTCTAACACTTTAACAAAATTTCATTCATCATTTCTTCGAAATCATTTCCATGGTAAAACATTTAAAAAGGTAAAGTATAAAATATTTAAATAACTTTATAGAAATGATTTTAAAGACATTAATATAGCTTTTATTTATTTAGGTTTATAACTTAATACCTAAGAAAAGGATAACTTTAGATGATATGTACGTATGGAATAAATGTGATATTACAAATATTTAATAAGATATTTCAAAATATTAGAATTACATCTAGAAATTGAAAAAGAAATTATAAATAGTATTATTTTTAGTATTATGCATAATATAATTTTTAGTTCAAGTTAATTTATATTTCTTTATTAAAATAGTTTTGTGAATAACAAACTTTTGTATTAAATAATATTTTTTTATATCTATGTTACATAAATACATTTATTTCATTAAATATTCTTTATTATTTTATAGTTTATTTTATATTTCAACAAATATATAAAAAATGATTATATATATTTCAACAAATATATAAAAAATGATTATATATTAAAAAATGATTTTAAAGAAAATTTAAATAAAATTTGAAAATTAATAATAATAATATATATACACAGAATTAATGTATAATAATATAAAATATAGTATAATTAATATAAAATATTTGTCTATCTAAAAAAGAATATTTTTATTTTTACAGTGAATAATACTATTATATTATTTTTTTAGGTAATTTATTTTTAGATGCTATTTTATATATTAATTATTGTATTACATTTTTTTTATAGAATATTAATTATTAAATATTAATTTTATAGGATAAATTATAAAGTAATAAAATTTATAAGATTTTATAAAAATTAGTCAAATTTCAGAAACATGTAATTTTCATTAAAACAAAAAAATATAGATCCAAGAACTATTAGTTTCAAAGTTATTAAATTTTTGTTATTTTAAATTTATAATAATAGCACAAAAGCATTTGAAACTAATTCAAAGAAATATCAATTATATTAATACTATGTAAATAAAATAAATAAATATTAATAAATATTAATAACGCTTCATTCGTAATTCTAAAATGATGAACATGCGTTTCATTTATTGTAAATCAAATGATAATATTAAAGAAACAAAACATTTATATTGAGGAATGAATCATACGTATCTAAATTATAATATATTCATCAACATTTAAAAGAAATATTTATTATTAATTTCAAATTTTATTGTCAATTTCAATCCATATTAAGAGAGACATAACTAATAAAATTTATTACAAAATTTTATTTTAAACAATTAAGAACAAAATCTTATATGATAATGAAAGTTTATTTATATATTATTTATATATTTATTTATATATTATATATATATATTATATATATTATATATAAATATTTATTTATATATATATTATTTATATATTATTTATCAATGAATGAATATGCGAAATCACAGAGATTCTAATGTTTCTGTTAATTCGAAGTTCAAAAGATTCAAAATAACGTTTCTTTAGTCCAAATTATTCAATTGGTTCAAATATTCTGATTTTTCCTCAAATTTTATAAATGCTTGTGTTTTCTGAAATCTCCACAATCATCTAAGAAAATATTCGGTATATATAAGGATAGATAAGTAGTCGATGACACGGGCGACCAGTTTCTTGAAACACTAATCTAAAAAAAATTGCTACAATTAGATTGGAAGATTGTCAATTATTTTAATTTCAATCATTCTAATATTAGATATTTTCTGATCTAATTTTTTTTTTATTTTA